ATTTGAACTAGGGATTGATTTGGTTGGCTTCAAAGCCAGGTTTTCCTTTCCAAAATTGAACTAGTGCATGACTTTGCAAGTTCATTTGGGTTTACTGCCTGACACAATTGTATAAGACTTTACAGCATTTAGGGCACGTTTTGCCCTGCTGATCTCTTGTTCACTCACATGTCCAGACCCACAAACTGAACTATTAAAATAAACAGTCTTGCTGCCCCTCCTGCATTTCCCTGGGAAATGCATTCCTCACTAAAAGCTAAAGATTCAAGAGACTCGCACAGTTCAAATTCATATTACGTGAAAAAAAAAATCATCACTTTAAACTTATAATTTATCAAATAAAAGGTTTTGAGAGCATTTTATTACCATCAGTTTTCCTAGAACTTTTCCAAAATATGAGACCAGCATGTTCTTATTTTATAGATTACTCATTTTACTGAGGCATGCAAAAAACAAAATGAACTAACATTAAGATATGACAAGGTCTTAGGTAATTTGATCTTTAGTAGTGGGACATTTACCTGCTAATTGCCTATCCTGTCTATTTAAACTGTGAGTTCTTTGTGATGCAGCTACATTACTATGACTGAGTCTAAATCAGGGTCTCTGAACACTAATGGAATTCAAATGACTGATATTAATAAAAATCAGATAATAGTATCCCATAGGAAGTCTAGAAGATCCAGAATGACAACAGGTCCTCTAATGCATCTTAATCTGCTGTAGCTACACAAAGCCAATCATACCCTAACATTTATACAGCTTTACTCCATTTTTGGTTTTTTGTACAAACTACAGAAATTCCTTTTTTCAACTCCATATTCTCTTTCAAGCAATATTTGCTCTTATTCAGTAGGATTAGGGCACTTTGAACACACCTACTGCGGTAAAACAAATCCTCTGTTTCCTTGTTTTTCCTAGGCACACATAGCTTTCACATTTGCAGGCAGTAAATAGCAAGTGCTTGCAGATAATCATAATCTCAGCACACAATCACAGCTTATTGTGCTTGTAACAGGACACTATATGCAAGCCCGTCATTCTTTGTTAATCAGTAACTGTCTGTTGTTTGACAGCCACTAGATTTTTATTTTATTTTTTAGTGCGCAATTTCTCACCTTCTCTATTTCAAAACCTCTTCTCTATTTCAAATAAAAAGACTGAAAGGCAACAGCAGTTCAGATCCTCACCAGGGTAATATGCATACCTCCTGCATCAATTGAGGATCAGCCCTTTGTCCTGCAAGCAAGAATAACACTGAAACATTACAGCAACTCTACTGCTGCCTGCTAGAGGCAGCTGGCAAGTTAGTGAATCAACCATCCAGTTGTATAGCAAAGCTACTTCAAAACTAAATAGACAAATAAAGAGCAGCCATGACATTCTTCGTGCAGTTTTCACCAGCCATTGCAGTTTTGACTTAATTTGTTTCCCTGCCTCTTTGCATCTTGAGTCTTTGAAGGCAAATGAACCAGTCGGTGTCATAAAACAAGAACTAGAACAGCCTTCAGTAATAACAAAAACTAACGGAAAAAGAAGATCTTTTGCAGGCAACATTTCACATGGCTCAAAACGTCGTTGCCGCAGTTTAAATTCTGCAGCCTTGCGATTGTTCTGACACGTCTTTATTGTTCCTTTTAAGTGCAAATGCCTAGGTAGCATCACTATAAATGAAACAGTAGTGTTCACAGATTGCATTCAACGGCTGTTAGAGCTTCCTCTCCTTCATCTGCACAATTTGCATCTATTACAGGCTCTGGAATATAGCTTTTGCTGCTTCTCAGTGGCCTCAGAAGGGCACAAGAGCCCCCCCACTACAGAACAGCAGTGAGGCTGATCTTTAAAGCCCATCCTAGAGGCAGCCCCTCTATGGTGCTTACTGAAGGAGGGGAGGAGGGGAAGAAGCTGGGCCTGTGAAGGCTTTGAAGGACACCACTATGATGTGCCATCAAGTTCTCTGAATGATCCTGCCTTGCGATACCCACCACAAAATCTACGGTGTTTAACAATAAATGCTCATAAAGATGCAGAGCCCTAGTGCAGGCATTCAGGGCCTCCTGAACACGGTTCAGAAGGGTTTTGTACAGTGATCTGTGCAGTAGTCTGTCTCTGGGATGCAAAAAAGAGGTGGGCGAATACATTTTGTACCTGTGAAATTCACTTTTCTTTCACAGCACAACAGGGAAAAAGAGCGTGTAGAGAACAACCTCTCCTAATTCTCTAATACCAGTTATGTGCTGAGACTTTTAACAAAATTAACCAGAATGCCCTCAGCTAAAATCCTGTCTGGAAGCTGGTCAGTGTTTTCATGCAAAGCAAGATACAAAGCAGGTGATGCTGTGTATTTCCTTTCAGGTTGCTCAAACCCAGAGGACAACCACTCTTAATAAATCAAACATACAAAGTCCAGAAGCTGCCTATTTTTAATTTTGGAGAAAATAATATTTTGATGATTTGACTGCTCTTCTTGGATACATAAAGAAAGCTTTGCAAATGAGATTTAGAGCCTTTGTCTCTTTCAGGGAAATGTTTGCAATAATAGACAGGAGTGGCACATTCACAGAAATGAGAATACTAAATCTGAGTTGCTTAGGGAAGAAACTTATGCCATTTATTTTTAGTACTTGAGTAGACCGGATTTAGGACCTTTAGGTGTGGTACCAATTGTAACCAGGCTAGAGGTGATTGCATACTCAGTGTGGTTTTATTACTGTTATTATTACCGTGCAGTTATTATCACACAAGTCCAACATTTCAACAGAGTCACACTACAGCATGCAATGCCATTGATCTTCAGGCAGTACACACAATTATTTGTCCTTTCCGTCATGAGACTCCACTATTGCAATATTCACATCAAACGAAAGCAAAAATACTACTTCTATTATTATTGTTATTTTTCTTTGTTGTGTCTCTCAGGAATCAGAAGATAAGCCAAAGCCAGGAGATGGGAATTCATTTTACTAGGCCACCCTGCTGATCAGCTAAAACAATAAGTTACCATATGCTTTATCTCTGTGACAATGCAATGGGATTATATTATTTTATCTTGTTTTACTAGCAACACATAATTGTATACAGCCTCTCCATGGAGCACACAAAGAACTGAGACTAGAAATTTGAAAAAAGGAGATAGGTGTATGGAAATATATTTTCCTCAACTCTGATTAATAGAATGAAAATCTGAAGAATCACTGACATGACATCTTCCATATTCTCTTTTTTTTTTTTGAGAGAGAGAACATATTTCACTTAAAGAACTGAAGTATTAGAAACGCAGTTGGAGTCTGTATTATCTGTCCTTTGGATCCCAATCATCGGCTTAAAATCTTTGTCATAGTTTTTTCATTTAAAAGAAAAGAATTAGGCAAAATCTCTTCAATGACCATAAAAATTTATAAGCAAATACTCCATTTGCATGTCCAGCTTCTGTGGAATACAAAGTAAACCTCTCTTCAAACACATAATAAAAACATTCTCCTGAAGACAGATACTTGTTTCACATAATGCTTTGTTCCGTAGTTAAAAGGATGAGATTCTGTCAAATAGCCTACAACAAAATCAGTTCTAGGGAAAGCCCTAAGCACTTACTACCCATCTTTCTATTTTAAAATGTTTTCCTATTACTGCCTTAAACACCTTGCAGCATGACTTCAGTGTCCCACTACAGTATGACATCAAGTGTGTGCTATTATTCTCCTATAAATTCAAACCACAGACACAAGAGAGCAAATCACAATGCCTCAACCTTCTACACTAGTCAGTGGCTATACAGAATACAGATTTTCATGGACTCTAAACATTCTAGCAATTCATTTCAGCTACACCTATCTAGCACAAAATTAATTTATATAACCTACTTTGATCCTCCAAATAAACTTATACAAAGGCTGGTTTCCTTCTAGTAAGAGAAGAGAAAAGTCTTTTAGATGAAGTCAGAGCATGATGGTGTTTGTACTCAAAGGAAAGCAAGTAGTATTGTAATTTATATGAAGCTACAAAGCTCAGAAATTCTGCAACACCTACATTTGCCTTTAAACTAATTGCCCTTGCCCAATGAGATACTGTCCATCATTACTAGAAAAGAAAGCTGAGTACAGATATCACAAATGATGTAAAACACAGTGTAGGTTTATGCAAATAGATGAATTTTGTGGTTTTGTATTACTCTGCATTTTCCACTAAAACTGGATTTGAAATAAGGTAATTAAATTAGACCACTGGTAGAACTCCAGGAGAAATTAGCTCAACCAGACAGAAAAATCTCAGTAGCATCATTGATAATTGGTTGCCCCTTCCAGACAGGCAGATAGAGAATAAACAGACACAAGCAGGAAGATAACCATTTGGCAAAACCTGGATGCTAGAGCCCAGTAGCCAAGTAAGTACAGTCATCCAAATAGGAGGGGGAGCACTGAAAATGGTTCATCAGGAATGACCACAAGGCTTTTCAGCCCCACATAGCACCCTTTCCAGCCCCTCTACACCAAACTCTACCAGCCTCTCTCTCAAAAGCAGCTTTTTTATAAAACTTGTCATTGTGGCTGCACAGGCAGTGCCAGGAGTCACTCCACTTACTTCCTCATGCTTCCCACCACCTGGTGCTGGCAAAGATCCCTTTGGCTAGCAAGGCACTGGGACTTTTCTTTTTCTTGTGGCTCTATTGTAAAGGGTACAATGTGGATCCTTGTCTCCTTAGGTATAATTAAGTGCTTAAGTGGCAGCATGTCATGCTGCAATTTTGTGATCTGAGCCTGGGTCCTGAGCTAGCCTGAAAGCTCACCGGGCAGACAGGCAGCACTGCACTGAATAACTGGTGAAAATTGCCAAAGATAACATTAATTCAGGGGATAAATGCACATGAAAAATTTAGAGGGGCCTACCTTCAACTCAGCTTCATCAGCAATGCTTTAAGGAAAGGATGAAAGGAAACAGCAAGAAAGAAGCCATCAAATTATGTTTGTCACAGTAGCACCTCCAATCACTTATAGGTCTCTTACCCAAGATTAAGTTTCATTCTACCCAGCTTCAGGTAAGGTGGTGTCACTGGAGTACTGTCACCTGCAAAAAAAAGCACAAAATATTTGTGGATTTAAGATAGAAACATTACAAGTGTTAAAAAAGTAAAACATGATGCATTTAATCACACCCTTCATCTGAAATGAATCCATATTTATCTAGCAAAAAAGCAGAGGACAGAATGAATCCAGAAGCTCAGTTTGATGCCTGAGAGCAGGTGAAAAACTGATGAATCTTATGTAGCAGTGGAAGGGCAATAACAAAAAAAAACCCAAAAAACAAACTAAAAAGATCCCAAACAAAACACCAAACCCAAATCAATTAATTCCTAATCTTCAACAATTAGTTATTTGAAGAGAGCATTTTTGACAACTGTCTGTATTGATCATGAAAATAAAGGAAGGCTTTCACCACCATTAAAACTAAATTTTTTTCTCATTCAGAGAGAAAGTAGTTGCCTTTGGAGACTGAACAAAGACAGGTCTGAATTCTTCCCCTACACTCTATTCTTCCCCAAGCATGGATCCAGAAAGACAAAGGGGTTATTTTGATTTGCACACCACTGCTTCCTTTCATGCTTTTTTTTCCTTGAAGTGGCATGTGCTCTTTTAAAAGGAGCAGACTCCCAGCTTGCCATGGGACCCCATTGTTTTCTAGCTGAGATTGAAATAAATCTCCTGAAATATGTTTGGTTTCTCTTAAATTTCAAAGTGATGGCCAATACTCAACTGCAAATGGTTTCAAACTGATCTTAGCCACTGCAGATTAAAACTCCCTCATCACTTGCTGTGAAACAAAACACAGTTAAAACCCTCTCATCATCATCATCTGGGAAATTCTGTTCAAGCTTTACTTTCAGATATCTTCATTCAAAACTGGAGCCATTCTTTGGAAATCAACACAGAGAATGTTGGACTTCCAGGTAATGCAAGCAAGTTCCCACTGGATTTAGCAAAGTTACTTCAGGATTTGGCATTATGGTTAAGCATATATTTCCACAAACTGAACTGAGAGCAAAGTATCCCCATCCCTACATAATCTTTGCATCCACCTCCCTCTCTTACTTTCTCCTCTGCTCACTCCTGATATTCAGTAACTACAGACTTATTCTTTGCCAAATTAAGCAGACAAGTGTTTCACTACATTTTTTAAAAAAAGCTTGTTTATCTGTCTCTGGGTCTTCTTAAATAAGTGATTCGCAGGTGTCTTGAAGCCAAGAAATATCTTCTAGTCTTTCATACATTTCTGATCTGATCAAAAATACTTTATTGGGAGAAATGATTAGGTAATGGTTATGGGGGAGGAGAGTGCGAAACTGGAGTTACAAATAACTGGGTATTCAAGGAATTCTCCAGCCTAAATTTGCTATAGAAATTTGATTTTAAGCTGAGATAGAAGACATTTAATATTATCAAAGAAAACAAAATGAACAACAGCTTTGCAACAAAAAAACAAACCTATAAATAAAAGTTTATTTTGAAATTGATACCCAGAGTAGTAAAGGAAGAACTAAATCAAGATCACAGCTAAGACAGAGGAGCTCTATTCTTATATCAGTTTTGATCACTGAGCAGCCTCAAGTAAGAAACTTCTTTAGTATCTAATGAATCAAATTCAGATAGTGATACCATTTTTAAAGAGCTTTGACATCCTCAATCCTAAGTTTTACAACTATGGCATGCCTGGGTCTGTGGCAGAGTTTTTGCAAGAAAAAGCTGGTAGTTTCATGCAGAGAAGTAGCATATGCTCAGATTAAAATTCAAATGTATTTATAACTGAACACTAATGGCAATGTCATTTATTCATTTAACAATTTTGCAATAGGCCATATGAGGCAAGCCATTTTTAAATGCATTGATTTGCACCGTACAGAGAAAGAGGAGTTAAAAAGTAGCCGAGATTCATCAGAAGTTGCAGTGTACCATAAGGTGGTGAATGGTGCCCTCAGGCTCAGGTTGGCAATGGTCACTTATTTAGAAATGTTCTGTTTTCAAAGTGTGAGGGAGAAAGGAGAGGTTGGGGTCCAACAGCTTTCCTTAATACTTTGATCTGCAATAGTTATATTAAAAGTCTACATGCTTGAAACAACATAGTGTTAGAAAGAAATTTCCTCAAGGGTTAAAGCTTGTATAATTTTAAAATTATGTTTTTCAAGTATCTCCAACACAGAAAAAGAGCTACATTCTTTTATCACCCATCTTGAATGGGCCATATAAAAGAGTCATGTCAGCACTAAACTTACAGGCCCATGGAGGACAGTTTCTTTTACACAGATTTTTTTAATAATTCAAGAATAGATATGACTTATTTCAGTGTGTTATTTTACAGTTTTAGGCATGATTTAGTAACAAAGGAAAAGCACAGTATTCTTTATCTGTTCATACAGTGAAGGAAAGCTTAGCCCATTTCACTAAAAGATAGTGTGATTGAGATGTGTATGTCTGCAGCTTAACCATAACAGCTTTAGAATTTGCTAAAGATTATGCTTGCATTTTTCTGCTGTAGATACACCACTGCTTTTTTAAAAATGATTTGTGGACAGATATTTAAGAAACAGAATACAATGATTTTATTGTACTCCTTCCAGAAAATGCTTCCTTCATTTTTCCCCTTAAAAGTTACACCTTCCCTTCTACCCCCCAGCTTTAGCTAGTTGGAAATAAGGGGCAATATCCTTCACTTATCAAAGTGGGAAATTTTTTTTGTTGCAGAAGGTAGATGTAAGATACTGCTCCACTGCCATACCAAACGTCTTCACCCCACACGAGGCCCAGAGCCAACCTGTCTTGCTGGTTGGTCTCTCACCCAGCAGGCTTGCCTCAGCAAAGGAACACCAGACCTGATGTCCTTCTGAGTGCAAGGCTCAGTTTTATTTTCCTACCCTCTCCTGACTAAAATTCAGTGCTTGAGGAAGTGTTTGAGGAAGCATGGAATACAATAAAGGGTTGCAGGCAACAGGGAGGTCCCCATGATTAAGTCCTACAGCTTATCTTTTTACAATATGAGCTAGAAAAGAGAATGGATGCCTTTCTCTTAAGATGATAAAATGCAGTATTCTGAATACAAGTCAGTATTTCTCCTGGGAATATTTAATTTTGGAAAAGAAACAGTACTCTTCTGTATCTAATGAGAAAATTTTGTTTTGTCTTGAGGGAGAAATTTCAGGATAGCTTTGGGAGCAACCATCTCAGAAGAAAATTGCAAACAGAAAGAAGTTGATAGAGCTTTTTGTACACTCATAGTACACATTGGCATAAAGGTAATTAAAAAAACCCAAACCAAACAGCTTTAGTATATTAAAAGAAAAAGGAAACCCTAAGCAAACTTTCAAAGGCAGGATTTTTAGAAATTATGAATGCAATACATGGATTCAAAAAACCCAGGGGAATCAGGTAAAGAGAGCAAAATACACTGGGAAACCTCATAATGTGCTCTCATCTGCACTTAACAGTGAAATTTACACTCGCAGAATGAGTTTTAAGAATTTTTTTCCTATAAAAATGAGTAAAAACAAGGCAACTTGCAAAACTTCTGGCTCAGGTTTTTATTTATGAGAAAGGCAAATGTTACACTCAATTTATCCCTGTAAATAAGGAGATATAGAAAAGCTTTTAACATGGAAGATACCTCTTTTGCTTATTTATTCAGCAGGGGATATGCAGAATCAAGTGGAAATTACTGAAAGTGAATCTGAGTCTTTCAGCAATAGAATTAGCTATGTGGGAAAATTAGTTTCCATGTCTTTAGCCACAACCATGGCTTCTGAGAAGGAAAGAACCTGTTTTGAGAAAGGTCACGTAATTAGAACTGATGGGAAGATAGAAAATAATTTTTTTCAGGTTTTAAAACTTGTTGCCCTGCTTTGAGCACATAAAAAGCTTTTCAAAGATCTGCAGAAACAAAACAGTATTAAAGCAGTTGTTTTGATACTCAGTATAGACCGCTGGGTATGCTCTATTCTGAGGAGTTTTCACACTGAATTTGGCAGAACATGAAGCTGAGCCTAGGTCATAAATTTCCCAGGCCATAGCCCACAGAACATAACAGCCTCTAGAGTTCAATGACGATGTTTTGGATGTTATGAGAGCATGTTTGGCCTACATTGCATGTGACAGAGAAGTCACCAGTTCAAGTTTTTCCTCAGTGATGTAGAATTCAAGTGTCTGGTATTGGCATGGCAGGAGCGCTGGTATTTGGGAGATGCTGTGACCTTGAAGAGATCTCTGTGCATGTGATGTGAGTTAGCCAAAGTGCTTAAAGGTGTCCTAGGGTAATGCAAGGGGCTTTGGGAACTATCTTCTTGTTTTTCCTCTGCAGCAGCATCTATTCCCCCATTTATATCTCCCCAAATTCTGAGAAAAAGTATCTGTGGGAAAGAGGGGATAGAAAAAAGCTGGGAAATTCACAAGGGAGCATGTGACAACACAAGGTCGACAGAGTTGAATGCTCTAATATCTGGAGCTCCAAGTGAAAGTGCTGCTGAGCCTATAGAGTTCACATCTTGTCTTAGGTCTGGCTGAGATGGATAGCACAGCCCTCGCAGTGCTGTGCTTTGCACTGGTAGCTAGAAAATTGTTGATAACACACCAGTGTTCTGGCCACTACAGAGCAGTGCTGGCACAGCATCAGAGCTGTCTCTCCAACATTCCCACCTCATCAGCAGGCTGGGAAAAATCCTGGGAGGGGATGCAGCTAGGATAACTCACCTAAACTGACCGAAGGGGTTTTCCATACCATATGATATTGACCATATATATTAGCTCAGATATGAAAGTTAAGAAAAGGAGGAGGAAGGAACGTTATTTGTTATTTCCATTTGCCTTCCGGAGCAACCACTACCTGTACTGAAGACCTGCTTTCTGAGAATGTCTGGACATCACTTGCTCATGGGAAGTAAGGAATAAAATCTTTGGGTTTTTTCGTTGCTTATGCATGCTTTTGCTTTAGCAAACTGCCTTATCTCAACCTATGAGCTGTTTTCTATCTTATTTTCTCTCCCATTAGGAGACAAAGTTAAGTCCAGTTAAGAAGGAGGAGGGATA